TCTGCTGCCTACCCATTCATGCGGTCTGATGCCACACAGTGCCATACGTCAGGGCTGGTGTGATGCCGCCAGACCATGCAGCCCAGGCCGTGTGTACAGAGAGCTACTGTTGCTATCAGGAAAGCTCAGGACACTGTGCAGCTGCAGAGACTTCAGGCAAGATACATACCCCTTCAGAACTCAGACCATCCCTGGTGTGGCATCTCCCCTCCCTATTCCAAAAGGGATGGTATAAAGCTTGGGAGAGTAATTGACGTGGAATGCTTTGTGCAACCAGGTCAACTGTCTGTCATAGATACAGTTATCATACACTCTTTAAATTGGCTATATTCTTGTCAGTATCCCAAATAAAAGTAACCTTGTACTGTGTCCTGATGCTGGCCTTTCACACACATCATGCGGGAGCCATGTCCCTGAGACCCAGGGCTAACTCCTAGTTACTGTCAAATCCCGCCCACATTTCCCTGGCCTCTTTCCCCTCCTATGTGCAGCTGGGTTATCTCATGCACTTAGCTCATCAGCTGTCACCAGCAAGTTGAAGCTGGGTTTAATCAGGCCAGTGTGTGGATGTCTGACTGCTGAAAAAACACCTAAGGGTTCACTGCAGTCAGTCACCCAGCATAAGACTGTCCTAACAGTCGCTTTTCAAACAGAGATAGAGACTGAGCCATCAAATGCAATAGAGCATTGATATTACAGCACATACTGTAAAATTCTAATATTTTTCAATAAGCAGTACTGAGCATTATTAATATTAAATAGATCTTTCCTTCCTGATAAATGGTCATCTTGAGGATGTTTTTTAATGGGCTGATTCCTTAAATGTGTAAGTGTTTGCACACAAACACATTTGGTCCCACTGAAATGAATTTTGCTTGAGTAAGGACTGTGGAATTAGACTTTGGGGGTCAGCTTCCTGTCCCACAGAATGCAGTGGGAAAGTTCCCACAATCAAGGGGGCCTCTCTTAGTGCATTCCATGCGGGAAGCATCTGCAGAGGTTTTATGCAGACAGTGCAATGTCTCAAGATGCTATCAGCATCTCCGACAGCCAAAGGCCACTGTGTCCTGAGAGGATCCCAATCCCAATCAAATTCCACAAAACTTATTTGCAGCATAAGCAAGAATGTGTGTGCATGTGTGCGCGTGTGTGTGTGTGTGTGTGTGTGTGTGTGTGTGCAGCAAGGCCATTAAACCTCACTCACTGTGGAGAAAGAAACCAAACTCATATGAACTTGAGCTTACAATCTTCCCATTGTGAGGATGTGTACTGAGAGAAAAGGTTATCATACTGAGAAATTTCTTTAAGGAAGTTATTTTCAATCAACCCCATGAGGTTCAGGGAAACTTAAGCACAGCTGACAAAGCAGCAAATAAGCCAATTCATTCATTTGACCACTATTTTCAGGATGTCTACTATATGCCAGGCACTGTTCTGAACCCCGGGGATGTAGCAGTGAACAAGAGAACCATAGCCCTACATTCTGCTGCTTCACTCAGAATTTATAACACGCTCATCAGTTCATATTTTAATACCAGACTGTGAGAGTTCCAACCATGCGCTTTCTCTTCTCACTGTATACTGGCACCTAGAACATATCTGCAACAGAGGTGGTGGTCTGTATGTTTTATGAAGTAATACACAGGAACAAAGATGTGACCCTAAACTCTTTTTTTTTTTTTTTTTTTTTTTTGAGATGGAGTCTTGCTCTGTAGCTCAGGCTGGAGTACAGTGGCACAGTGGCACGATCTCAGCTCACTGCAACCTCCGCCTCCCAG